TTTTTGTGCCAAATTTTTTTGCATTGCAAAAATGTGAAATACAATATCGATCGACTCAAATTTTCCAGCACACAACAAGATTAATTTTTGATTAGGCTTAATAAAATTTGGTCATATATTATGTAAAAATGGGTTTTCAAAGTTGGGTTCGAGCTCAACCTGAAACTGACCCACCTTCAATTGAGCAGATATGAATCCAACTAAATTAGGCAAATGAGTTAGAAATTCAAACTTGGACTTGACCCGCCATAACCCAAGTTGAACCGACCCGACTTTATAACCCGCAATGCAGCTAGTCGAGAGCAGGTGAGAGCGTGTGCGAGGCGAAGGGAGCGAGAGTGGGACCAGCTGGCGAGCTCAAAGGGAAGGGAGCGAGTGCATGCGGGCGATCATGTGGCGAGGTTGCAAGCATGTGCGAGCGATTGCGATTATGAGAGTGGGCGCGAGCATGAGTGCGGGATTGTTGCGGGCTAGGGGATGACCCAAGTTAGTTTTGGGTTTTCAGGTTCGCCTGAATCCGACCCACTATTTAAAACGGGTCAGAAAATGAATACTGAATCTAACACGTTGTCAAAATTGGTTGACCCGAACCTTGAATTTTTAATGTTGGACCCATGTCCGGCTTCAGATCAGGTCAAATATTGACACACCTAATATATTTAAGTTTTTGTGGCATATAATCTTATTTTTTATTAAAAATTATTGAATTAATTTTAATTATGAGAAACTTTATAAAATATTTTATAGTCCGATATAAGAATATTTTTATCTGAGTTAAACTTTTTAAGCATATTTATTACTTACCCAATGATTAAAAGAACGGGCTTTCTAGTATTTCGGGCATTACGGGCGTACAGATTCAAATATCCGCCGTGCTCCTCCCGGCCGCATCTCTGTCGCTCGCTCTCTTTCCTTTTACGATCGAGCGAACTTGAGAGGAAATTAGAACCAGAGATGGAGGTAATTTGTTATTCACTTCCCTCCAAATCTAATTTTCGTCTTTCCGAAACTCATTGAATGTTTTTTCGTTGATGCGAAGTTCTCATCTCGATTGATCTTCCTCGCCATACTCCTTTACTCTGCTCTTCTCACCGGAGCCGCTCAGGTTTCTCTCTCTCTCTCTCTCTCTCTCTCTCTCTCTCTCTCTCTTTCTCTCTCTCTCTGTGTCCGTGATTTCTGACGCTCAATCGGCTGCGCAGGTTGGAGATGGATGCTCGAGGGATGGTGACTGCGGGGCAGGGCTGCATTGCGATTCGTGCGGCGCAATATGCACGCGAGTAAAACCCACAGAGCCCGAATCAGTGGTACAACTGCGGATTTCATTTTTCTTCTTCAAAATCGCATGTTCGATCTTTCTTGGAGTATTTTGGATTTTATTAAGGTAATGATTAATTGTTGGATTTGGTTAGTGGCTTTCAGGACAAGGGACTTCCGTTCAATCGGTACTCATGGTTAACTACGCACAACTCTTTTGCCCTAGCTGGATCAAAGTCAGCTACCGGTTCGGACCTAATCACTCCCACCAACCAGCAGGACACCGTCACCTCTCAGCTCCAAGTAAGCATTTCTGTATACACAATTACTCCCTTCTCTCTCTCATGGAATCCTCGGCGGCTGTGCGCGAATCCGAACATGCGCCTTGTGAAGAACGCAACGACTACCTTTTTTTATCTTTTTTTTTTTAAAGAAATAAAGGTCAGTATTGTTGATTTTTTTATTCTGTTTACCAACTTTGATGGCACGCGGGATTAGAGAACTGAAAGGCCGACGCGTTTGTGGTGGTGACAGCTGAACTATTATTTTCTTAAGAAATAGGCGAAATATTGTTGTACGCATCGACGTATAAGCTGATGATTAGCCGTGTGTGGGGGGTTGTATTGAGTCAAGCTGCTTTGCGATCTGGGCTGGGCTAACCAGCTGAATATGAGTCCCTATTTTGAATTATCTGTTAATCCATTTAAAAAAATATTAATATAAAATATAATTAAAATATAAGAAAAATTAAAAAAATTAATTTCAAAAATTGTGAAAATAATTAAAATTTATTTTTCACCCATGTCTCAATTTTAATTATAATTATTTCTTTTAATGAATTCAAATAGTTTTAATATCTACATCTTATATTTGTTAAAAGCATGTTAAATATAAGTAAAAGATCTTATATCAAATCAAGTATTAATAAAATTAAAGATTTTATTTTAAATAAACATAAAATTTCTAATAAAAATCTGTATCAAAGCCGCAGACTTTATGTCCAATAAATTCTTATATTTAGAAAATCTTATATCATAAGGCATCATTTATTTGACTTAAAAAACCAATATCAATGAAGAAAGTTGGGAGATCATTACGTTTATTTAACTGCATGTTTTAGAATTCTTTCATTTCTAAACTCAATGCTGAGGTCTGCTAACGTGGCATATAAGATGGCGCAAATGTATTGATTTTGATTTTCTATTTTTAAAAAGTCTTTTTAAGGCGTCGAATTTTGGCACCTTATGGTTTTCCTGTGCGTGTCATACTTTGATTTCTACTTGAAGGCGGGGCAGACAAGTTGGTGCTCTTTGTTTAAAATATTGAACTTTTTTAATTTTCACTTTGACTGAGGCGGGTAAGACTGGAATTTATTGAAGAAATTATATTTAGGCATCTGAAATGCATACGAAATTTAAGAAAAAAGATTGAATGATGGAAACTGGTGAGGTCATAGAGATATCATCTGCTCGTCTTCTTATTGTTCAGCAAATAGAAAATGGTCACTACCATTATAGTTGGTATCATTTATTTATTTTCAAAGAGATTTGGTGAACAGATTCTTTCTCGTCTTTTTTAAAAAAGTAAATTAATGGATCTGTTTACACCATGTTGCACGGGATATGATTTCATTATTGCAGTTCTACTCGGAACAGGAGTGGTTGGAACAATTTGGATTAATCAAGCTAAAGACCTAAGAAAATGTGAAGGCTGTGGTTGAATGCAAAGAGTTCATGTTATATATATAATACATTTCTAAATCAACTCTTCTTTTTTATCTTCCATTTTGAGATGAACTTTCTATCTTGACTTTGGTTGTTGTTGGAGCATGAGGGGATGATTTTCTTAGTTTAGGGTTGTGAAACCCTAACCATAGATTGACGGATCTCTTTAAATTAAAATTTTTTATATATTTTTGATTGATGCTTAGCTCCTAAAATCATTTGTTCTCCATTTTTGTTATTCAAATTTCTACTGAGAGTGATATTTTGATATCAAGAAATTCTGAACTCGAGATAAAACGTGGCACAAGTTAACACAACAAATAAAAAGGATCAATAAAATCATAAGAGACTAAGATTCTTCGTCTTCAATTAAGCCTATATCCATGTGAAGGGGATGGGATCTGATCCACTACCAAAGAAGTTATAAAAACAATAAACACAAAAAGGAATACTTATCAGACTTCCAATAATCTCGAATACAACCACATTGAAAGGATATAAGAGAACCCAAAAAACCTTGAACTAGATATTCTTTTCGCATGCAACTCAAAGCGACAAATTCTCCAAGAAACTCTTGAAGCTGCGAGCATTTAAAAGAGATGTTATGGTGCAAATTCTGAAAAAAAGTTCTTGTTGAGTGTATTGCATATACCCTGAGGCAATCCAAACTCAATTCCCGCGACTCCTTGGCGAGAAACCCAAAATCTCTAGTGCATCTTGAGTTCAGCATGTGTGCCACACAATGCACACGAATTGAAATGTTATCCGTGTTGACCTCTAACCAGCCGACAGGTCCACCTACCCACGTTTCACATAACCATCCTTTCCTAAGTGACACGATCACTCAAGTGTAACTACCTCTCATTTCCAATATATCTCACATAGAAATCGTCTGAGAGCACGAACTCATTTGACACAAATGATTCAAACTCTCTATGTCTCTTACGACCGACCTCGCCCCCTATTTCCGACTTGCCGCTCCCAGCCACAACCAGGCCTGATAAATGCTTCTGATCCTTCTCTCGATCCACCTTAGCCATCCCTCCGATCCTACCTCCAACCCTCTGCCCGACTAGTGCCGCCCTCCCTCCAACCACCTGCAAACCCGACGTCACCCTAGCTTCCTGCGACTCCTGACTTTGAAGCACTAGTCAACCTGACCCTGTCCGATTTCCTCTTTCTTTTCTCTATTTGTTTATATATATAATAATAATAAAATATAATATAATATTATAAAATTAATAAAGAAAGAGAGAAAAAAAGAGGGAGCAACTTGTAATCGCCGATTTCGAAGACCTGCACTATCGAGCTTAGGTCCGGCCAGGAATGCACAAATTGAAGCCCCCGTGCTATTGATTTTTGATATGGGCGGGAAGATCTTTTAAATTGAACGCCTCACGCAAGTGTATCTTAGATCCTGGTGGGATGATGCAGACATCCGACTATGAACGCTTATCAAAGGAAGAGACGAAGATCAACGGTCGAGATCATTATACTTTATCTTAATTTATTATTTGTATTTTTGGGTTTATTTATGCATTTTACGTTTTTACTCTCATTTGAGGGAGTAGTCTTATGTAAGCCCTAGGGGCATGTTTGTATTTTTTGAGTTTTTTTTAAAAAAATCTTATTTTGAGGCTAATATATAGAGATCATTGCTATTGTATTAGCATGATAGATTATTAAGAAGAATTTTTTTGCACTTTATTCTTGAGTGCGATGTGAGTTCTTAGGAGAGTGGAAGTCCCTATGAGAGGGCAACGCAATACCCACCAGTCGTAGGAAGCGTCCGGGCTCATGGTTTAAAGTCCCTAGGTGAAGGGTAACACATCACCCACCAACTGTAGGAAGCATCCAGGTTCGTGGTTTTATCTCTTCCAAACTCCCTTTCCCTCCTATCCACTAACCACAACCTTCCCCAACCCCACAAGCCACCGGCCTATTTCCCTTTGTATTTCCCTACCCCATCCAACCCCTCTTCATCCTCAAAGCCGCCGGTCTACACTTCTTCTCCCCAAACTGCCAGTTGACCCCACCTCTTTTCCCCAAGCCACCGACTTCTACCCCCCCTTCCACCTTCTTTGCCTCAAAAAATTGTTCAAATTGAGGTATTGAATACCTTCCTATTTTGGTCCATTCTAAACGTAGAAATTAAAATTGACAAAGGAGGGGATGTTGAGAGGTTGACGAAATTAAAATTGACAAATGACCCTTACGTAATGAATTTTAAATAAAATTTGTCACTTTAAACAATAAAAAAAATAAGACCAAACAATTTCATAATTTAATATGCAATAAAATGTTTCAGTTCTTTATTAGTGCGTGCAGAAAAGATATAGCTGATGATTTAATAGCACTTGGCATCTTTGCAGTTTACTTTTGTGAAACATATTGTGCTCAAATCAGAGAGATGCTTTTGGAAATTATTTGATAGCCTTTATCATGACATTATGTTATAAGGGTGACTAGTCGTGTAAACCATTAGTCCTTGCATTAAATCCTCTCAAAAAAAAAAAAAAGAGCTCATGACCAATAATCATCTTTGCTAATAAATGGTTCAACAACTAACAAAAAACCATTAAACCATATATCAAATCTCACGGCAAGATCTTGTTAAAATGAGTGATGATTTTGTCCTCAAAGTTTCCTAGGTTTTTAGATATATACATCCTTACGATAGCTAAGGCGGATGAAAATTCATTTCTACAAATAAACCAGTGCAACTTATCAAGAGTGTCACAAAATAGTTTACAAAGGATAGGATCCTTGCGGAGGGCCTATTTTGAATGGATATAGAGATATTGATAGATGATTACAATGGAAAGAGGTAAAATAAGGAAAATAAGCACGAAGGCTCGAAAAAACTATTAGCAATTTTATAGCCTATAATATGTAATCACTATGCTAGTGCCCAAGAAATTTCTCTTACTCGGAATGGAGCTCTAAATGCAAAATCTCTTGCAAAACATGAGAAGAAAATACAAGAGTTGACAGCTTGATGCAAGATGATGTCTGGCGAGTGTCATGAAGTATGAATGTCATTGAAAGCAACAAATGAACTTGATGGATATACCGACTCTTCATTTAGAGTATCTATAATGCTCATAAATATAGCTATTAATTAGACATCTTAAAGCGAGGAAAATAAAGTAGACCTTAATGATATGTATAAACTTGAAATCCTTTTAGATAATGCTATGATTAGTTCTAATGAAGGTTTTTGAACCTACATTTGCTTCAACAAATGTGCCAAATTTGCAAATGCCAATGTTTAAGAATGCTTTGTGGGTTAAATATTCAAATTTCATTCTCCTTGAAACAACCGGAGTTAATCTAACTTGAATTATAAGATACCTCCTAAATTTTTGCAAAATATAATATTTTCAATTGAAAATCATGTAATCCCCAATGATGGTCATGTTGAATATAAATCTCAATCGGTAGAGAATCTATCTTTCAAAATACTCTGAAAATCATAGCAAAATACATAAATTTAAAGTGACTTCAACGCCACCCTAAATTCCTATGAAAATATAAGTAACTTTGACGCACTCCGATGATGGTCATGTTGATAGTAAATCTCAATCGGAGGGGTGTTGGTGGAATTTTGAAAAGAATGATTTGCCTTACAAGATGCAAAATAAATCTAAATTAAATTTCTTTGGGAAAATCAAGAATTAAATTTAAATCTCAATTCTGAGGTCGAACGAATCATCAAGGATAATATACCGCCTCGAAAGGCAGAGATAAAATCTCCTAACGGGTTCAAACATA